TTCCCATAACAAAACACCTTTAAATACCCAACCAAGAAAGTTATGTGGCAGTAGCAGGCCTTTAAAAATGCTCAAGCAAATGCTATTTCATGTATACTCAGTAACGGTAATATCTCCAATAGCAACTGTATCAATTTCAAAACTACCAGATACAAAGCAACTACAAAAAATACTGAATATTTACAGAAATCATTTCTGATATTATCACACAAATGGCCTAAATCATGATTTTTAGAACAAATCCTTGTAACTTTTCTTAAATGTAGATCACAAAACCAATTCTCCAATGTTTGTTCTGAAAATCAAGTTTATCAACTGGGTAAAAAAAGGGGGCAGACAAAACTTAAGAGTCATCAGCTCTGTGCAGGAAAACTTCTGTTTTATGAGCCAGTAGTTTCTATGGAAAAAGGAAAAAAAAAGAAAAAGAAAAAAATTCTATCCCATAAATTCCTTAAGGTGTATTAATAACTAGTACTTCTAATATGGAACAGGCCTAACATTTCATGGAAATGAAAAACGTCCTATGTATACAGGCTTCTAGATTTATCTTTACCTACTCTGAATTCACATACATTATTAATATAAAAACACTGTCTATATTTTGAGCTTACTAAAAAAACTGACACAAAATAAAATTGAAAACTGAGCATTTACTGAAAATGAATGTTCAAACTTTGTTTCCTACATGAACAATTTTCTAATCAAGTCATCAAAGTGATTATTTTAGAACTTGCTTAAAAATTGCTAAATACTGTTAGGCACAGCAAACAATTCCAAATTTCAAGCTGAAACATTTCAAAGTAAGAACTGAGTTCATTTCCAGAAGGTAAACTAGTTCATAATACTTAGGTATACATTTTATTTAATTATGAGAAATTAGACATAACGTTCCACACAAAAATTAAAATACACTATCTGCCTTTCTCCTGCTACTAAAATAAAAACTTTAAAGGCAATGAATCTCCACTTTCTAAAACAACTTATAAAATTAACATGGTTATATGTTGTATTTAACTTGAATTATTTAATACTTTAAAAGCAATCTAAGTCTGCATCACTATACTGCGTCAACTATTACAATTGATAGTAACGAAATTTCTTTTCCTTATATTGAATTATATTTAACTGAAAATTACTCGTTTTGATGCACTTTACTCTTAAGTTTTAGAGAAAATGAAATTTGCAGTTTATACAGCAATTATGTAGTCATGTTTTTCAGGAAAGAAACAAATGTCTATGAAAATGCAAGATAAAGATTGTAGAATCTTTAAAAAAAAATAGAATTACTTTCAACAACCACTCGCCTTTAACAAAACAGCTACATTTATAATCACTACAAGGTACGAATATTCCAGTAATCAGTATCTGAAAGGGTGCATACATCTACCAAACAGAAGCCTGTAGCAGAAGCCTGAGCTCTACATGTGCTTTGAACACATGAAATCTTGTTATCTTGCATTCAGCCTATTTTCTAGATTGCTCAGAATCAAATCCAACCAAAAAATTCTTAACAATAATTCAGTTTTGCAAAGAATTTTAAAACTCAGCTTTCCTCAGTTTTCCTGAAAAAGCACATCATTGCTGACCCTCCTATAGCGAACAGAAATACCCCTTACTAGTTTCATAAAGGAACTTAACTTAGCCAGCTTCAGGGCCAACACTGACCAGTACAAGTCTTCAATGAGGATTTTAACTCCTGCCCCCCAAACAGAACATACTGACGAAGAAAGAATCAAGCAAGCCCCTCTGGCTTATCAAAATTATTGGGAGGACAACGCTTAGAAGAGCAACGGCTTCACCGACTTTCTCCCTATTGACTCTTTTTCATATCAACATTTGGCTCAATAAAACCACAGCTCTGGAAATTAAGTGTTATTAGTCATTTGTTGCAATATTTGATACTGCTTTCTATGCATATCATAACTAAAAGTACAGTTTCAGAGTTCTAACTCACAGAAATGGCACGTGCAGAAGCCCATGTACTATGAAATCAAATAAGGAACTGCAATCACGTCACTGCTCATACATTAAAATGTGGCAAAACAATTTTGAAGTTCGACACACCTGATAATTTTAAATCAAGTGGGAACAACAAAAAAGGTGTACTGTGGAAGCTAAGAGAAGCCTGTCTACCAGGCACTCAGATTTTTCTTTGAATGAGGGTCTATTTTTTTTTAATTAAACAGATACCTGACTAATTCCTTCTATATCTAGATTACAATCACTAATTTATACCAACTGCCTTGAAGCAAGCGGTAACTCAGAATTTTCTCCATTACCTTTCAGAAAAGGTCAAGTTCATCCTATGTAAAGCTTTGAAATTTAAACTGAGAATTAAAGCAAGCTTGAAAATTCCTCTCAAAGCCTGCTTTTTAACTTAACAGAAAATTAGCCTGTTTCTAAAGTGAGTTTCATCTTCATTTCAGAACAAAAACTCGGTCAAAATTAGCTATGCATGCCTACATGCTGCTAATGCAATAAAAAAAAAAACCCCAAACCTCTTCTAAATGAAAACATTTTCTTACAAAGAAAAAAAAAGGCCTCTCCATAATGCTCTAATTCTTAGCAGGACATGTATAGACAAGTCGCTGACCTTCTACCTTAAGAAATGTCTACTGGTATTTACTAATAATTAACTTTTACCAAGAATACCTTATTAACAATTATGCAATTACATAATTTTAACTAAATGTTGCCCATTGCTACAAGTCACACAAAAAATTAATTGGGGTCGTTAACAAAAGGTCCAACAGATTTTCAAGCCTGTCACTTCAGACCAGCAACTTGTTTTTCACACACCGGCCTCCCAAAAGCTCTCAATATCTGTCAATACTTCCTCCCAAAAGGAGGACTGTCTTCCTATCCCTGATCAAAATCAATACCATACCTGAAACTGCAAAGATAAATGCTTTAAGATAACCACGAACTTTTGAAGTACAAAGACCTAACTTTTAAACAATCAGAACTATACAGCGTTAAAAATTCTTGAGTTTCTGTCTTATTCAACAAGCTGACTCAGGAAATTACTGCATTTAAAAACCTACCATACCTACAATCTGAAGCCAGTGATCCACTCTTGCTAGTATTTCTGGGCATTAGCTGGTTAAATTATACTTGACATTCTATACAAATCAGGGTAAAACCCATGGATAGTCAACGGGTCAGAGCATTTGAAACATAAAAAATATGAGCAGCAAATTCCAGTTCATGGTAATAGTTAAATTTCATGTGAGGGCTGAGGTTTAACCTCTGTAACCATTCGCCACACGCAATATCCTTGAACTCACACAGACATCATCTGGGACCAAAAACTACTCAATTTCTATCTATCATGTATGACAAGGCCAAATGAATGTAAAATACCGCTGAAATGCAAAGCTCATGTTCCATCCCATGTCTCATCAGGAAACAAAGTCTAATTTAACAAAGTTCTATTAAAAGCTCCAATAACGCAAATTCTGGCACTGTTGATATCAAACTACAGAACTTCTACATTGTAACTCCAAAGTGGTAATTACCCCAGTTTAAACACATAGACCTACCTTTACCCTCAAATGTGCACCATCTACGCTGAGGATGACTATGCTTATAAAGTTATGCAAATCAGTCCACTAGTCACATTTTAGAAAAATCTATCAACGCAGCCCAGGAAACTAACAATCACTGCAAGATTCTGAGGCAATATGCGTACGTGCAGCACGGACTTTCATTTTAATCTGATCTACACCCAAGATCTAGGGCCTAAGTCACGATCTAATCGAAACATGCACAACCTCACGGCGTCTGATTTTTGGTTCATTTAGAAGGCTTGGATTAACGAGCTCGTTAATCCAATGTATAATACTCTGCATTCACAGACAATAGATTTTAGGAAGCGACCACAGAGCTAGACAAGAAACCAATCCGTGCCTTGACACTTGCAAGCAGGCATGAGTTCCGTCTAGATGAACACTCCCTAGGTTGAATACACTGGAAGAGACACAAAATACAAGATCTAGAAATGCGACCAGTATTAGACGTTATAGTCACCCCAACTACGGAAATTTTTCGCATCCGTCTACTCCCACGTTATCAGAGTGACAGAAAAGCAAAGAGGAACAGCCGCAGAAATGGATACAGGTCAAGTCTAAGTCGAATCCATCCTCTTGATATCTCCTTTTGTTTCTGCTAACGATCTCTTTGATGATGGCTGTCATGTCTGGGAGCCTGTGGCTGAAGAAAAAGGAGGAGAGAGATGGCAGAAGCTGCTGGTGGCGAGGCTTCTTCTGCAGGATGGAAATGGCTCTGGACTTGGCGGTCGCCGATGCCCCTCGCTCTGCTGCCGCTTGGCCCTGGACCGCAGCCGGGTAATGGCTGCTGCGGCGGCTGCTGGATGGTTGCAGCGACTGGGCCTGCTTCTCCTCAGCAGCCAGAGGCCTGGCAGCCGAGGCAGCGGAATGGGGAGAAGACGGATAATCCTCGCAGCAGCGGCTGCCTCCTCCGGCGGCCTCCGGAGCCCGGGCCAGGGGGGGTGCGGCGGCGGCGGACGGGAGGCTCAGCACCGGCCCGGGTCCCTGGACGTGCCGCCGCCGCCGCCGCCGTGTTGGAGGCAGGAGAAGGGGAGAGAGCAACTCTCCGGCGTTCCCAGCCCTGGCAATGGTGACAGGCGACTCCGACCCCCTCCCCGGAGCCGCGGCCGCCGCCGCCGCCGCCGCTTCTCCCCCCCGCTCCAGGAGCGGGAGGTGCAGCCGCCGAGCCTGCGCCGGCTCCCGCCCGAGCCCACGGCTTCCACCGTCTGTCTCTCTCCGAAGCCGCTCAGAGGCTGCCCGGTTAGAATAGACGACGAGGAGGCGAGGCCCGCCGCCGCTGCCGCCGCCGCCCGGCCGGCTCCCCGAGGGCGCTGCCCCCGCGGCTGCTCACAGGCGCTGAGAGGGGCTCTGGGCCGCGGCCGCCGCCGTCTCTCATCTCCCTCGCCTGCGCCGGGCCTGGCCTCACCGCGGCTCAACTCTCAAACTTCCATCATGGCTGCAGCTTCCGAGAGGAGAGAGCTGAGCGCAGCCGCCTCCCGACGCCCAAGCGCGTATCCTGCCGCAGTGCACAAAGAGTCCCGCCACATCACCGTGCGCCGGCCGGCCAGCCCGCCCCCTCCGCCGCCCCGCCAGGAGAGCCGGCCGCCTCCGAAGCCGGAGGGGAGGAGAGAGGAGATCGGGAGGCGGGCGGGCCGAGCCGGGGGAGAGGCGGGGCGGGGCGGGGCGCCGGCGGGACGGGGCGGTGAGCGGCGCCGAGCATGCCCAGTGTGGCCGCGGTTGTCTCCGGGAGCTGCGCCGGCTTCGGCCTCAGCGCACAGACCCGGCAAAGGTAGGGCAGGGCTGTGACCGAGGGGAGCTGCGCTGAGCAGGATCGCTGACTGCTCTCCGGTGGATCGGACCAGCTGGTCGTGCTAGGCAGTGTCTCGGGAGCTTCGGGGCCAGGGCCCTGCGGCTGGGACACCCATCCTGCCTCCCTCCGTCCCTGGGTTTCTTTGGAGTGGCTTGCATTCCCTGCCCTGCGCCGTGGTCGGATTGCAGTGCTTCGCTAGGATTTGTCAGCGACAGTCTTTACCTAGATAGTGCACCTCTCCCTCCCCCCTCCACGGTGTCCTCAAGGTGTCAGTCTTTGCACAAAGAACAACCCCCTATTGTGTCTCCGGCGTGGGTCACCTCATCGGGCTCGGGTTCCCTGCCCCACCTCTTCCCAGGCGGCTGGGATCATTTGCGCGAAAGATGAACGCTCCCAGCGAGCATGATGATTGTGCATACGGGGCGTGTGCATACACGTCTCCCCTGAGTATCCAGGGCCCAGAGGACACCCCTGGGTGGACAAAGTGGATCTCCATGAATAGGGTGCACCCCACACGCACCCTTCTACTGCTGGGTGATGAAACCCCTCAGCTCCCCGCAGCCGTGGGGTCCACCGGATGGATCAGCCAGCTTCCGTCTTAAACGGGCTAAGCGTCCCCTCCCGTTTGTGGCCGCTTTGAAAAGCCAGCAGAATTGGGTCGCTGTGGGCAGGTTCTGCTCCACTCGGACGTGCACGGTCCGGGAGCCAGTTGCTGTGTCGGGGTGTGGAGTGTAAAACGGTAGGAAGCTGCAGCCTGCGAGTGGGCGGGGCGAGCCGGCCTGGGAGGGCTCAAAGGCGAGGTGGAAGGATACACGAGCCACGGTCGGAACTACTTTCAGGAGGAGGTCACGTGTGGTCCTAGTTGGGGAACTTTCCAAATTCCCATTCCCCTATCTGTGTGCTCCGGAGGCAAGAGCTTGGACCCTTCTGCTCTGCTAGATGGCCACCCCGGGTGGGGGCGGCCGGACCCCAGCTCATTCCGGTCGGAGCGGAGGATAGCACCCACGGGCGGTCCGCAGGAGCGCTGTCGGGGCCAAGCGCCTGGGGAGCTGGTTACACAAGCACCCACATCCAAGCACGTGCCCCCGCCACCCCTCTCTGCTGGCCGCCGCCAGTTTGTGCACGGTGACGCGGAGAGTCCTCAGGCTGCTCTTCCCTTTCGCTTGCAACCCATAGAGCAAGCCAGAAAGCCGAGACTCCTGCTCTGGATGTGCCCACACCGCGCGTTCTCAACCGTGGGAGAAGAGGCTGGGCCTTAAGGGGATCTGACGCATCTCCTTTGCTAATGAGATGGACCCTCTGTAGGTCTGTACTCGCGGGGCAAAAGGGTATCTCCTGTTGCTGCTGGCTGCCTGGGCTTACCGATGTTGCAACAAACTTCCAGTCACTGCCCCTGAACTGGTGAGCGCGCCCCACCTACTGTAGACTCAGCCAAGTGACTTATCTGAGCACCTAGTCAATGGCTGTCCGCCCAGAACAAACCTGTCAAGTAAAAGCTTACTGCCGGGATTGGTTGACCTGTCGCGGTTGAGAGAGCTGTTTCAGAAACGCTGATAACTAGAGTGCAAGCCCCTCCTCCCGGACGAGCCAGCCACAAAGCAAGCGATCACCTTGAGCTTGGAGAAAAATGACATCAACACCAACGCAGGGATTTCTTCCTTTTTGTTCTTTTCCCAGAAGACTTAGTTCTCAGGGTGACAATTTGAGTCCGAAAGTATCTGACTTGAGACCTAAGCTGAGGCACTGGGTCATTTTAGAAATTTGGAGATTAGTAATCTATTATCATGGGTATTGCAGTAATTGCGAGTAGGTGTGTAGGAAGGCCAGCCGAGGGATTATGAAGTATAGGAGAAAGAAAATTGCGTATGTGCACAGCATAGTTGCAGGCAGCTCCTGAAACCTAGAAACCTCAAGAGGCCTGTCTCAGAGAGCCACGGGCCATTACCTAACTCCAGGACTGCTAATTAAACCAGGGATATTTACAGTTCTATTAGAGATCTCTGAGGCCACTCAAACCTTGCACTTAGATGCATCCTTTTAAGATCTCTCTGCAGGAGTCAGCTGCCCAAGCTAAGCTAGCATTGATGTTTATTGCAGGCTGTTTTTGTGCACGGTTCTGGTCAGTTGGAGGAGGCAGGGAAGACAGATGAGAGCAATTTGAAAACAATAGAAAGCCCTCCATTTGGTTTCTAAAGATGTAAATCAATCTAACCCACACAGCCTAATCTAAGATGGAGATCTATTTTACATATAACCCCCAAAGTCACGGTGGTATATGAGATGCAGGGTAAAAACCTAAGGTGTGCCCAGAGGAGTATCTACTACTGCTTGGTGGGGAAAATAAGGACGAAGTTACATAAAGAGAAGTAGGTTGAGGAGGGGGGAAATGACCCACATTTGTTCCAGTCCCCAGAGTCCCTATTTTGCCTCTTCCCTGGAGCCATCTTGTGTGACATAGACTAAGAGTGTCTAAGACGTCCTCTAAAGGAAAAGAAAGGCATTCATTCCTAAGCTTCCTGATGCTGGGCTGGAGGAAAGAGGATCCGTCTCTGTTCCCAGAACATCACTCTAGAGCACAGGGGATGAACATCCCAGCACTCAAGTGCTGGAACCTGACACCAGCCCAGAGACACTTGCAAGTGAGGGAAGAAAGCTGGAAGCCAGTTAACTGCTTCCCTGAACAGGTTCCTCCATTCTCTAGTGGTGAATGAATAGATAACCATGTTGGCCCGGTGTGTGGCCAGGCTGACCACAACATCAGGTATTGCTGGGTGTTTTCTCTCACAGCATTAAATACCTTTCTGAAAGAAATACTGACTTAGCCTTTTAAATTTTTTGGTGTTTTTCACTTCTTTACTCCATTCAAAGGATGCGAATAGGTCAGGAGGGAGAAAAGCCAGATAGCAATAAAAAATATTTAAGTTCAAATGAAAGTATATCTGGTAGGCTGTCCTGATACTACAATACACTGGTTTCCTGGCACTTCATTTCCTTACCTGTCTGGATTTAAAACACCCCAGGGAGAAACAGAAGCCTATAACAAAGGAGGAATTATATAAAGCTCTAGGGAGACTAACTTTATAGAATAATTAGGGAGTATGATAAACCAGCTTTAATTATAGTTTCTACCAGCTGATTCCAAAACTGTATTGTTACTACACATCAAAGATGTCTGGAGAAAAGTCTTCCCTGGTTTCTTTGATAAGTGGGACACCAAAAACTGGATGTGGATAATAGAAATAGTTGATGGCTGTTGTAGGTTCTGCACTAAAGTGTCCTGTGTGTGAGCTCTCCGTTGCCCTAATGCCTTTCTCCTCTCCCATACTCTGACCCTTCCACAAGAGAGTTAAATCAAGTGCTTTAATTTTTAAGCAAGTGTTTCTCTCTCTCTCTCTCTCTCTCTCTCTCTCTCTCTCTCTCTCTCTCTCTCTCTCTCTCTCTCTCCCTCTCTCCCTTTCTCCCTCTCCTAAAAAGCACTTTCTAAATAATAGAAAATAATGAATTAGGTTACATATAATTGGCTTTGAATTTAAACTGGCCTGTTCCACAGTTCTGAAGGCTTTCTATTATTTGTTTATTTAGTTTTCTAAACTTACATTTATTTATTGTGCGTGAAAGCATGCACCAGCACATATACACAGGCCATGGCACACTGGTGTATGTTAGAGGACAATTTGCAAGAGCCTGTTCTCTTTTGACCACAGCTTCTGGGGATCTAACTCAGTTGTCAGGTTTGATGGAACACACCTTCGCCCACTGAGCATCTTACCATGCCACTTACTGTTCTTGTAAGTACAAACAGTTTGCTCAGCCTTTCCTCCTATAAGTCATACACATACTGTATTCTAGGAGAAAATTTCTCTATAAGCTTTCCATACCCTAAACTCTCCCAAAGCTTTTACAAATGACTCTCTGTCACATTTCCTATCTCAGGAAAGAGATATTCTGTATGATAACATTAGTTTCAAACAAACAGAGGCTAAACTGGGTACTGGGGTGCCACGAAAGCAGACCACAGGGCACTCAGGAATTATCACTCAGGGAGGGACACAAAACAACTTTATTTCCATTAACTTTGACTGTTAGATCTTCTACTTTGTAACTCCAGTTCTAGCTCTATGGAACATAGTTTGCTCTAGATCGTCAACTATTTCAGAGGAGGAGTACCTCTTTTGAAAGAGGAAATGGACAAAACTTGCTTAAATTGTCTTCATGATGACAAGGGAGCCTTAACTCCGTTCTTGTAATGATTCAGTCAACAAACACTTGGCACTTTTCTGTGCTCCTCCTGTCTTAAGCATTTTGAGTAGGGCAGTAACTGGCCAGCAGATCCACATTCAGTAAGTTGAGTCAGCTTTAGGAATATGAATCCTGGGGTTGGGGATTTAGCTCAGTGGTAGAGCGCTTGCCTAGCAAGCACAAGGCCCTGGGTTCGGTCCTCAGCTCTGGAAAAAGGAAAAAAAAAAAAAGAACTAGAGGAGGAACATGAATCCTTGGACTGAAACTATTGCAACCTCCTCGCAGCCAATGTAACAACTATGATGCTTGATAACTCATTCGATTATCTATTGCTTCACAACAAATCACAGTAAAAAAAAAAAAAATCCAGGGGGCTGGAGAGATGGCTCAGAGGCTAAGAGCACTGACTGCTCTTCCAGAGGTCCTGAGTTCAATTCCCAGCAACCACATAGTGGCTCACAACCATCTGTATTCAGATCTGGTGCCCTTTTCTGGCCTGTGGAAATACATAGACAGAATACTGTATACATAATAAATAAATCTTTAAAAATTTTTTTTGACTTAAAATGGCCATCTTTGTTTTCCCACAATTCTTGAGGAAGGGTGTGGCTGGGCAATTCTTTTCCCCACTGATGAGATCAAGGGACAGACATGGTCTACTAAGCTGTGAGTTTCGCTGGATCTGGAATGTCAAAGGTAGTTTCTACCTGTGTATCCAGGAACTCAACTGGAGTAACTAAAATGATGAAAGGTCTCCCTGTCTTCATGTGATTACTCCAAAACTGAGCCTATAACTTAGCTATCATGAAGACAATGGGTGCAGTTTCTCATTTTACAGCCATCTGTATCTTTATTTCAAGGGCATATTGTATAGTTGGTCCCTGAAACCATTTCTTACACTGAGAAGCTTGATAACTAAAGAGATACTCCCAGGACCCTAAATGTTTTAGAAGAATTGAGGTTTGTTTTGGAGGCTGGCTCTTATTTATCCCATGTTGGTCTTGAACTCACTGTAGCTGACAGAAATCTTTCACTTTTGATCTCCTGCCTCCACCTCCAGAAAAGGTACATGCATTTACTACAGAGCGAGTTCCAGGACAGCCTGAGCTACATAGAGAAACCATGTCTTCAAAAAACAAAAAAAAGTCAATTGAACATATACCTATGTAGATAAATATGCTCATATAAATATACAGAAAAATCTGAGAGAATAAACAAAAGTCTGAAAAGGAAGGGAAAGCATTTCGGAGAGAGATTGACATCTCTTGATCTGTTATTTGTTTCTTTGTATGGTGAAGGTTTTTTTGGGGGGGGGTTCTTTGTTTGTTTTGTTTTTTTCAAGACAGGGTTTCTCTGTATAGCCCTGGTTGTCCTGGAACTGGCTATGTAGACCAGTCTGGCCTCAAACTAACAGATCTGCCTGCCTCTACCTCCAGAGAAGTGGAATTAAAGATGTTCTTTACACTGATTATTTTTATTTGCATAAGACAAAATAGTGATTTCACCCAATAGAATTAAAACTAAAAATAAATGTTTGTTATCAAAAGAATATCAAATAACCAGAGGAAGTTCAGCTCTAATTTCATTTTTAAATAAGTGAGCTCACTAAGACATTTCCAATATTTAAGCCTAAAGGTCTGCTCAGTGTCTGCCATAAATAATATCTGGGAGAAATGCTGTGTTCTACAGGGATACTGTGTGCCATAGAGATGCTTTGTACTACAAGGATGCTGTGTACTACAGGGATGCTGTGGATACAGGGATGTTGTGGATACAGGGATGCTGTGGGCTACAGGGATGCTGTGTGCTACAGGGATGCTGTGGATACAGGGGTGCTGTGGGATACAGGGATGCTGTGGATACAGGGGTGCTGTGTACTACAGGGATGCTGTGTACTGGGGTGCTGTGGGATACAGGGGTGCTGTGGATACAGGGATGCTGTGTGCTACAGGGATGCTATATGCTATATGAGCTCTGTCTTGATCCAAGTATCCTCTCTTCCCTATATTAACTGCTTCAACTAGGTCTGTTTTTCAGTTTTTGTACTACTTAGCAATGTTCTGCTCAAAACATTCTTTTCCCCTAGAAATAATTGTATTTCAACAGCATCACAGTCTTCTTCCATCCTATATGATAGCAGACTTCTCTGTGATAGAAGGATAGAAGATTGAGAAGAAATCTCAAAGACTCATCCACCAATCTCATTGTACATGCAAAGAAACTACAAACAATGATTTATATGCTCCCATTACACAAACATTACAGATACTTAGGAGCCTGGGAAATTTCTTTAGTTAAACAAAAATGAAGCAAAAACCTAGCTTTTATTGAATCTGAACAAGGTACCACTGGGAAATTAAACTAGAGATGACTTTTTATAACATTTCTAGCCCTAGAGTTGGTCACAGACAAAGGTGATGAGATGTGATTGGTGTTCATTTTCTGCCCTGTGTTTCCTAAACTTAGTTCCAACAGTGAGCCTAAAAATCAAGCATGAGCTGGGTAGTGATGGCCAGCACTCAGGAGGCAGAGGAAGGCCGATCTCTGTGAGTTCAAGGCCAGCCTAGTCTGCAAGGCAAGGTCCCAGACAGCCAGGGCAGCACAGAGAAACCCTGTCTCAAAAAACCAAAAGAGAGAGAGAGAGAGAGAGAGAGAGAGAGAGAGAGAGAGAGAGAGAGAGAGAGAGAGAAGGAAGGAAAGAGAAAAAAGAATCAAATGTGAAACCCTGAGTTGCCACATGTTCTACAGAATAATTGGAAAAGTATTTCCAAAATGCATGAAGAAGGCACACATCAGTGAGAACTGAAAACAGAAAAGAAAAAAAAGGACGTTCTTAGGAAGAAAACACCAAACTTCACCACACAACAAAGGGAACGCTGCCACCTGCTGAAGGAGACAATGAGCATTGAACACAGTCCCAGGCAGTCCCAGGCAGGCAGGGGAGAGCAGTTAATTGCAGCTTTCAGGCCTCACTTGTGCTGGGTAAGACAGTAATGCCCTACTTTCCTACCCCCTTTCTTCCATGAATAGTTATGGATGTAACATTTTTATTCCCACCCTCAAACCTAAGTCTCACAATGCTGCGGTGTTTATTTAAGTATTACTTGCTGTGGGTTAATGTTTCCAGTGGCTCACCATTCCTCCTCCTTAGAAACAGATAGATCTCTTTTTCTCACTTTCGCTCCTTGCATCCCTTTCTTTTCTATTGTGTTTAAATATCAGGTGGATCTCAGAGTTCCAGGCTAGCCTGGTCTACATAGTGTGTTCTAGAACAGAACCAGAACTACATAGTGACACCTTATCTCAAAAACAATAACAAAAATCCGTACACACATAAAATTTACAAGAGAGAAGGCTAGGAGAAATCGCTGTTGTACCTTTATCTGTCTCCCTTTTTCAACTATACGTCCACTTTCCTAACTCCTGTCCTCTCTCTTGCCTCTCTACCCCTCCATTTCTCTCTTCTTTATTCTCCTATTTCAAGACACCATCACGCTGTTGCTTGGTGCCTTTGGTTTTCCTGTCATATGAATGCAATACCTTTTTCGCTTGCTTGTGTTGAGACAGGGTTT